AACTGCGCAGTTTCAATAATAATTCACTAGAGTTATTGTGTAAAAACTACGTGTTATTGGCTGCAAGCTTAGTTACTCTCCGACTCTACCTTTTATCGGTTTGGAGGCCGCAACGAAAAAATCAGTTTTAATGAGCTCTAAGTTTCATTAGTTTTCGGTTAAAAAACTCCGCATTTGATGACAACCACTATATATCTTCAAGGGTAACGATTTAAGGTTATGCACCCAAAAAGTCCGAAGCCTAAGGTTGCAACTACCCAACTCACTCAATTAAATATACATACCACATCTTGTCGACTCGCAAGCGGCCTTCGAAGGCACGAAAACGGTTTGTTTCATACATGAGCCTGTTAATTGTCAAGGTCCAATAGTACTCTTGGCGAATCACATTTAAGAGCACTAAGAGCCCTGGAAGAAGAAACAGTCTCCATTGTTGCAATGTGATTGGAGTACTGAGGCTGACATGGAATAAAAGAAGCTCGAGAGCTTATCTCATTAAAAAGGGACGAAAGGAGATCTTCCCTTGAGAGGCTGGATGTATACAAATGACTTCTGAAGGAGTTGTAGAGAGAAGGTAGAGCCTGAAACCTTACAAGTGCCCTACACTTTCAAAGATTAGGTTAAAGTTTCTTTGCAAGTGTAACGAAATGTCGATTGCTCTGTTTTGTCAACCCCAAGCATCAGTTTGAACAGCGGGTGTGGGCTAATGGGAATTTCAGTGTCTTGAACACTTTTAGTGGTCTAGGAACGCTTTTGCCAAGCCTCCACTTCAACTTAACCTAATTTAACCTAGGCTGTTCTTTAAACCCTCTTTTAACGCGAAAGCATTCCTATATATAAAAAATTCCACAAAATTAGATCTCGACAAAAAAAGGTTCTATAGAGAAACATATGTATATATGTATTCTTATGTAAGTATGCATGCACATACATATAACATATGGAAGTATCCAACAACTTGAGTGACACTGAAAAATTCTTCAAATCGAGTTCGAAAACTCACCACTGACATATGTTTGCGAATTGCTTTGCTCCGCATTTTCTGAAATAATGACATTGAGAAATTTCACGCAACGCAAAGCTTTCGCACGAGTCTCTGCGCACTTTTAGTTCTTCTGCTGGTAGCTGACTAATTGCTCGGTAGCTGTAACGGTAGCAGGCGTGGAGAAGTGGCAATCACTGACAATTTACGAGATGTACTCCCCATGGTGTGTTGATTTAACAGTTCAACCGAATTGAAATAAAACACGCGGTTCCCAGAGCATACAACAACAACAACAACAACAGCAACAACATGAACAGCCAGAAGAACAATAAAGAAACTACGGTTAGTTGGAGTTGGAATGCACAGATGCCGTTGCACGATTGGGATAGGGTGGGTGTGTATGTGTTGGTGCCTGTTTGCGGGCCTGAGTTAGTACTGCCAAATAAGCATAAAATAAAATACCGCAGATGGACTACTCGCCGCAATTTTCCAAAAGTGACAGCACGACTGACGTTTAGTTTTCCTGAAAATGATTTAAATGCACGCATGAGTATGTAGGTATGTATGTATGTGCACGTGTTTGTTGACATGATGCAGCTATTTATTAGGCGATTTGTATCCCAAACTGATGAGCTATTTAGCCCCTTAATGCGCGGGAGCCAAGCGAACAGCAGGAGCATGTTCGTCCATACATATACATACAAACATACATATGTATGTTTATCTACACATATATGTAAATGTGTGTAAGCGTATTACGGAATGCGATGTCATGTTATTCTAACCTCTTGTACGCGGATATGGATCGATTACGGCTGTGGGACAGAGGTGAATGCGTACATTATACAAACGCACAATTCTGTTTTTGTAATTGCATAAAGTATGTGAAATCATATGTAAATGGAAAATAAATAAACATCAGTTCGACCATTATGCGCTGCCAAGCAGTGCAGTTTCAAAAATGTTTTCGAAAAGCATCGTTAGAGTGGGTGTTCTTTCCAACATTGGTGTGTAGTGGGTTTAATGTCTATTTTTGCTTGTTGTTGTATGTAATTTGGTAAACTAATTGTTATCGTTGTTTTGACAATACGGTATTTGTAGCATTTCATTTCGATTTTTGGGAGTTTTTTGATTGATTTGATGGACAGCAATGGCGTGCGCACTGTTGGTTTGCTATGGTATTGGAGCAGGGGCTTCCGGGAGCAATTTCGGCTGCATTTTCTCAATTCAATTTCAAGAATATCGATTGCAGTATACAACAACATGTCTTGGATTTTTCTGTTGTTCCATTTAGAGTCCTTATTATGGGAGTTACACCTTCAGTCATTTACTGTTTGGTTGCTCTTGATGGATATCGACTTTGGGTATATTTTGAGATTTGACAGTAAATATTTACTTAATTCAAATATATTTTACTTTGGGTAATTTAATATAAAGTCCCTTCTCGACGAACGAAGACCAAACTCTACAAGTTGCTCGTCATTCCCGTCTTGCTACATGGAGCGGAAGTATAAACGATGAGCAAAGGAAGAGGAAAATCAGGTCGAGAAGGGCTTCGTACTTCCAATTGGTGGCAAACAGCAAGCGGTTTCCATGCAAGTAAAGAAGAATTATTTGAAATATCGTCTAGAACGGAGAGGATAGATATATATGTATATGTATTATTCTAGTAAAAAGTAATCCATAATTTTAGCTGTAGATGACTTTAGTGATCTCTGTCTCGAGAGCCATAAGTGCGTGGATGGCGTCAGAAAAATGGTAATTTTTACTAAAAAAAGATGCCAGGAGAGGTGTTGATCACTTGAGTGCATTTCAAAGATGGGAAACGCAGGTCAGACAGCTAAAAGTTTGAATAGTATTTATGGTCCTGTTATTCCTCGGTGTGGCGGTGTGTAAAGCCAATTGTTGAAAAGGAAAATAATGGAAATCCTCGAGTTTGATCGCACTGTTTTGATTGTCCATCAGCTGAACGTTGCACGGAACCAATTTGGAACCACTTGAAATGAACTGGAAGCACAAGGAAGCTCGATATAAGGGTGCCGCGTAAGTTAAGGAGAAAACACCTCAACGACCGAACCTCCATCTGCGAATCGTTGCTGAGTTGTAACTAAATCGACCCAATTCTGAAGCTGATGGTGTCTGCTGATGAAAAGTAGATAACTTCCAGCAACGTCAAATGAAAACGGTCGTGGTCGAAGTGCTGTGAGCCGTCACAAACTGTAAAGTAAGGTTTTGATATATGAACGTTGTGAGGCTGAGAATATCAATTGGATCGGTACGCGCCTTCCATTGCTCTCTTAAAGGATATTGTACGTTCTTTATTCAGCTCTGCAGCTTTTATTATTTCTTCCAGCAATAAAATAAGGAAGTCGCGAGATAAGGTGTAACCTTGACAGAAATTTCGATTGGTATCAAACGACTCGGAGAGATCCTTTTCGATCATGACGGAGCTTTTGGTGTTGCTTAACGTCAGTTTATGTACATATCCGTAAAAGTTCGACGGGGATACCCAATTCCGGCTTAGCGGCGTAGAGGCGACACCTTTAAATACTGTCGAAGGCGAAGGTGGAATCAGTTTGTTGACGGTGAAGTTTCCTACAATATGCTTGATAGTACCTTATATGCAAGTTTAAGGAGGCTTATCCCACATTAATTGCCGCTGATTGTGGGATAGGCGATTTTGGGGTTTGGGCAGAGCATCCTTAGGTTTCAATCGTCGGGTTTGCTTTCCTACGACCATATTTTACAAAGTTCCTTGCCGCCGTATTTGATAAGCTCAGCCAGTAATCCATCGACCACCGCCGCTTTGTGGTTTTTCAAGCAGGCGGTTGTTCTCTCGGCGTAGAAGTCCCATCTGGTTCGCTACCACCTGCTTTCACTGCCATTTAGCAGGCTGGATATTTGTTCCCTCTGTAAATTCAGTATAATCGCGGCTTCCGTTACTAGATAACCCCTTAGTGTTCTACGAGAGTCTACTCCGGTATTGAAATCTTCTTTAAGCCACGGTATCTTTTCGTAGAATTTTCGAGCAATACTCATGTCGGCCAGCCCCTCAGGATTTTCAGACCCACACATCTCGGACTGTTTCTTTTTTTGTCTGCACTTGTTTCCCATTTCAATTTTCGGCATCTATCCCACCCCCGCACGTGTTGTTTTCTCTACTGCGACACCGCAGTCCTTATCGTGCCAGTTGTTTTTGTATTTGCAGCTGTACGTAGAGAGATAGAAATTCCGTCCCACAGTTTTCTTAAGGCGAGTTGCTGATGAGTGCTCTCAAAGACCAGAAATGCAAATCGAGTTGAAACCCGTTCGGCAGTCTTGTGTGATTGCAGCATTTCAACGTCGAAACTTCCCGGTGTCTGTTGATTGGTGTATATTGCTGCACATTGCTGTCGAGTCGATGTTAGGCCCTCGGAGCTTACAAAAGCCCAGAACGCTGGAGACATGCCTTCCATCAATCATATTCTGATTGTGAGACAGCCTAATAGCTTGATGAATTGCCTTAAGCTGGATTCTAGTTCTGTAGACAAACAAATTTGAGGCTCCGACAAAGGCGATCAGTCTCAAACCATTTGAGGATGTTTCCTTGTGTAGATTAAATTTTCCGACAGTTGTGTCGAAGACACTCTCTTTGCTCACCCTAGTGTTAAAGTGGCCAAACACGATTTTCACATCGCTCATCTGTACGCTCCAAGCGCTCATGAAAGGTATCTTCCTTACTTCGACACATTCCCAATTAAAAGACCGAACATTCCAAGTGCATGCCCTCAAATCATGATCCTTAATTCGCTTGTAGTTGGCGTCATCAAGAGAGGAGTATCTCATCCGAAACAGCTAAGAGCGATAACGTTGGTGTTATACTTACATATACATACATATATGTAGATACAAATAAATATTAACCCCGAAAATCATCGAAAAAAGAAAAGTTTATCAAACACACCTCTCCAAGCAGTTTTTCAGATATGACAAAAAACAAAATGAAATTCCATAAGTATGACCGAAGACAGCTGCTTCTTCTGTTTTCAATACAATTTTTAATTAATTATTTTTTTCAAATTGAAAATTACTGAATTTTTTCTCATTTTGGTATTCTATGGCTGCAGGAAAAAAATATATTTTCGTGGGCATATTTGGATCACCTTAAGTTACAAAAATACATATACTTGTAAATATGTATATGAATGCAAATGTAATGAAAGAGAAAATTATGAAGAGCAATCATCACACCAATCACCAGCTGTCATATTCCAATTAATTAATTAATTGTTTATTTATACAACGAATGCAACGGATATGTGTATAAGTACCAACATATGAACTTTCATACATACACGTATACAGACATATACCCAAAAGAGTGTGGAAGGTGAGCCAATGCAATGCAGCAACTAATAAAAAAATAAAAAATAAAATTACCTAAATTGTATTGAAGACATCAAAGTTCGTGGAGTTGCAACGGAGTTGAAGTGGTATTTTTGTTGTTTTTGTTATTGTTTTTTCTTTCAGCTGTAAATGCAATGCGACGCATCACACGCACAACCGATGGCTTAGTAGACGTTCAACTCATCAATGAGTTGATAACTCATAAATCAGCCGCGTAAACAGGAAGCGACGTTGATGAAGACGTCGATGCAATCTCATCGCGCTTATTACGTTACACGAAGTGCCGTAATGAAGTAAATTATCAAGTTAAGTGTAAGGAGGAAAGCGCGGCGGTGTGAGTACATTGATTTTTTTTTTGCCCCTAGACATATATACATACATATTTATAATGGTCCTAATGCTATGTCTCTCTCTCGTTTTCTTGACACGTTCCACCACAACTTTTGTGTCCAATAAATGGTGTACCGTTGCAGCTATTTAATTTATGGAACTTCCCAGGAACTTAATGATGATCAAGACGCGTATATGTACGCTTCTTTTAATTGTTGTTGTTGGTTGTAAAATGTTAATTGCATTGTTGATATTTGACCATAAAGTTGGAATTTGATGATCGTTTGCATTTGCATGAACGATTTTCAATGCTTGTACCAATATTAGCAGCGATTCCTTGCGTAAAACTTTATTTGTTGTAGAGTGTTGTTGAAAATATTAGCATATAATTTCATTAAATAACTCCCGAAACTTAGTAAATATTAAAAAAATGAGGAATTATTATTGTTAATTGATCAAATAACACTACTTAGCAGCTTTGGATGGAAATCACCTGCCGTCAGCCCGAAAATTTGTCGATTTCATCTTATGTCTTCTCCGTAAATATGTCCATAAAAATTCCAAACAAAAACATGTCCACCTCACAAGAAATTCAAAGTCCTAAAAAAAATTAGCCATATATTGGGTTGCCCAAAAAGTAATTGCGGATTTTTTAAAAGAAAGTAAATGCATTTTCAATAAAACTTAGAATGAACTTTAATCAAATATATAATTGNATATCAAATCGCCGCTAGTTTCTTTTCGGGACAATCGTCACTAACGGCATGGGCAAGCGGTGACAACTTTGTGTTTACATGGCGCTCTCTTGAGTTAGGTTGCTATGGACGGAAGGTATGTAAGATGGGTAGTTGCAGCATAAGACATAACACATATTGATGGCAACAGGTTGTAACCGCCTAACTTGATTTGTGATCAAATTGGGTTATTGTCGGTGCAAATTTCAGAGTGTAGAAAAATTTTTTATGTGGTAAACTGGTCGAAAATGTCCTTTTAGGTCAAAGGTGTCAATGGAAATATATGGGCTCTTTTCAGAATCATATGACACCAATTTCGTTCTGAATATTTTAACCAATAGTTTTACCAGCAAAGCAGTATTTTGATAAAAATGGCTAAAAAATTTTAGAAAATTTATTTGTTTATTAGCCAAAATTAGCCGTGCCACAAATTTTCGAAGTATTTTTAATTTTTTTTTGCAGGTATTTTTGCTTTCCTTACATCCTTCAATAAATTTTTGATACGATTTAGGTCTGGGCTTTGCGCCGGTCAAACCAAAACATTAATATTTTCCTTCTTCAGCCAGTTTTTTGTTACCTTCACGGTATGCTTATGATTATTACCCTGTATAAAAGTCTAATATAGTGGCAAGGAGATAAGTACGAATGGTTCATTTCATTCTTTAAAGTGTCTAGATATATATATATTTGTCCATTTTTCTATTTTATCACACAGTTGTTCTTACTCAGGAAAACGCCCCCCAAAACATAATATTACCGCCTGAATGTTGTATGGTCTTTTTGGTGTACCTAGGATTCAAATCTAGACCTCTTGGCCGATCAAATGTGGATTTTCCACCTGCTTTCATTCCATTTATTTTAGTTTCATCGGTCCATAATACATTTTTCCGAAAACTTAGCGCCCGGTGCGCATGCGTCTTAGCAAACTCCAACCGTTTTCTTATATGTCGTTTTAACAGGAGTGGTTTTTTGCGGGTAATGCGTCCAAAGAGCTGGGCCTCATTTAAACGTCTTCCGACATTGCTTCTTGACAAAGACAAAAAACCATGAAACCCTTTAAAGTCAGCACAATATTCATGGTATCGAATTCTTTACATTTATGTTTTTATATATTCAGGAGAAAATCTACGTATGCGCGTATTAAGCTTCATACAATCCTTGTTGAAAATTTGACTTAAGCCGTTCTAACTTATGCACACAGTCACTTGAGTAGTAGAAATACTTCAAAACAGTTGTTCCAAGCAGTAAATGTTGCAATTGATTTGCAAAAGGCGTAAGGTAATAGAAACCTCATCTACTCGTATATAAACCAGTTTATTGGCTACAAAATTATTTGTGTGTGTGTGTGTAAATTAACAGTTAACAAATTACAAAATGTCAAAAGACACGAGAACTCGCACGAATTTTATTCAACCGTGACGCTTTGAAACAACATTTGGTCACAATGGTCAAGCGTTGATACGTTGAATACAATCCTGGCGATGGCCCAGTGAAATTACAAACAAATAATTTGCTGTTGCAGCGCATGCAAACGGCAGGATAACGGTTGCAGTTGTCATTGGTTGAGATAATTTAAATATTTATGCAAGCCAATTAACAACTGCAACCAGATGTCAACAAAGTGTTCGAGTAATGATCGCTTACAAACAACCACTTTACAGTTGATTAGAAAAATAACAAATTTTGAGTTGCTGTTTTGTATTAGAACTATTTGAAGGACATACAGGGAATTCTAGAGTGTCACAGTTAATAAGAAATATGGAAAAAGTCAGTTGAATGAATATGACCATAGACTAATTCTCTTGCCAAAAGAGTAAATCTTCGAAAACTTTCCATCTTCGCTAGCGGTTGAAAATCGAAACAGGACTTTCACAATAAAGGCTTTGCAGCTTACATTTACGCTAAAACGAAAACCTTTCTACTCCTCATGTTTAAAGATACCTCAAAATAAGGAGACTAAATATCTATCTTGGACTACAACTTGGATTACACAAAAGAAAAGGCTCTCGGCATGAAACTCAGAAATTTATTTTTGGTCATAATCTCTATTCTTAAGTATTTACCCAATTTAAGTTTCCTATATACTCAACTCAACTATCCTAGAGTTAATTTGACCTATGGAATACAGCTGCGGGACACAACATCTCATAGGAGTTCTAAACAGATTTCAAGCGAAAACTCTCAGAATGATTGCCAAGTTACGCCTACGTCACAACTGACCAACTCCACGGAGATCTGAATATTTTAATATCTCGGAGGAAAGTAATAATACTACCTTGTCTTATGAGCTAGTAATCTTAGCTCCAATCCAAGCGCCCTCTTTATAGTGGCATTTTGTTCTTAGAACCATAAAACCATTTGGAAACGAGCTACAGTGAAGAGGAAGACCGTGTGTACAATTTGGGATTCTGCTGACGAAAAATCTACTTCAATGTATTCACGATAAGACTCGCCTGAGGAGACCCACCTTTCATGACGTCTACTGGGAATTTAAATTTAATTTTATTTTAATTTAAGAATAATGATTTGGGGTTAATGCAGCTTTTATATACGAGTATATATTTTTTAATTGGGAAAGTGTCACGGCTCCTGTTGTTTCGTCAGGGTCTTCGAATATATGTCATGGCCTGGATAAGAACGGAGCAGGATATATATTTGCAGTATACAATATGATGGCCATAAAAAGTAACACAAATTTAGAGCTAAATAAATGTTTGTTTTTAGAAAGACGCTGTCGCCGAGTACTAGTAATCCCTCCGGTGGTTGGGCGTCCTTCAACAATTTGTATCAGAGCGAGATTTGACAAAGTATTGCTGATTGAAGAACAGACATACGAGTGCATATATGGGGTCAGCAGTGAAGGACTATGTGAACAAAGACACCTACTACCAACGGTGTCAGAATTGTGCTCGGTCATTTTAACAACAGTCAGAGAATGCAGTCTCCACCAACTCCAAAGGGGTATAAGTTGATAGATTCGGTGAGTCCCGGTAAGTGGTTGCGGGTAATGCCTTAGTACAGTACAAAGTAATGCATCAATAGTGTTGTCTTCGCATATACGGTTTTAACCAGAGATTCACATTAGGTCTGGGGATATGAATAACGTTGAGTGACATTCATTTTCATTACATATTTGCCGTTCACTTATACCCAACAACATTTGTCTACTTCGTTGATTTTCTACGCGATGTCTAAAACCGACTATTTTGTTTACGATTTAAATAAAACTAAATCCTGACTGGAATATGACACCTTTACGATTGACCAATTCTGGTCGCTTCTCCTTAATGGCTGTATTCAATTTGTCCAATTGTTGACAGTAAACATCCGAATTAATCGTTTGGTTCCTTGGAAGCAGCTCAAAATATACGATACCCTTCCAATCCCACCAAACAGACAGCATAACCTTCTTTTGGTGGATATCAGCCTTTGAAGTGGTTTGAGCTGGTTCACCATTCATTCATTCATTCATCTCCAGTTATGATTCGCCCTTTGTGGGCTCCATATTAAAATTGACGCCAGACAAACAAATGTAAACAAAATTTCGCGCACTTTTTTTCTAAAGCAAGCCAAAAGTAACAGCTGATAACTGACAGAAGAAAGAATGCAATTACAGAGTCACAAGCCGTTGAAAAAATTTGTCAACGCCGACTATATGAAAAATCCGCAATTACTTTTTGGGCAACCCAATAGTTTCGATCATATTCAGATCTGTCGCACCAGGGACTAACTTTGAAAATAAACTCTTGCAATGTGTTTATTCAATTAGAGACATTCCCCGAAAGGAGACAACCATGCAGCAAGACATACAAGGCATACTCTCTAAAAATGCCTTCATCGCAATAAGATGAAGTTCGCCGAGTGGAGAGGCTCTTGCTTATTTGGGAACCAGACACCACAGGGCTCCCTTATATCAACAATAATAAGCTACAAGTGTACCAGACAACTCCAATTTTGAACCAGTCTTGGTCCGTAAAGTGTTAAATGACTTAAACCGTTCATTTCGGTGGTGGAATCGAGTTGATGCTGTTGCTAACCAGCACACTTAGGCCTGAAGACCTTTTGAAATACCGCTGTGGAACACTTCCCAGCTTCTCAGATGTACGAATCAGCCATTGATACGACTATCAGGCAGTCGAAGAAGAGATATCCTAGCTATTTATGTCCTAGCTTCCTCTCTTCGTCCCTGCAGCTACGATAAAACTCATTCGAAAAGTGTTCCATTCTCCTAACGTGAAGTCCCTTTAAACAGTGTCCAATGTGTATGCCCGTTATTGAATTAATTGTGAACCGGCCGAAGCTGATTGTATTGATTTTTTACGCGTTCAGTATAAGCCAAAGCTGTCTACCGCAGACATATGGATTCGAAATCTTAGATCTAGGGAAATGAAATAATAAGAAAATATATAATTCCTCATTTAATGTAAATTGAATATTAATCGGGCTACTTTATGCTCACCTCGCCCTACTCTCTTCTTACACTTCGCATTCGTATACTCGTTCTTCTTCCTTTATCCAAAATTAAATTGGAACCTACATCTATTAAGCCACCTCTACGAAGAGGCATACGTTCACTCTTCCACTCAAATACTTTGGAAT